TGACTGCTGAGGCTAAGACCTCCAGTACTATGTTAAATAGTAATGTTAAGACTGGACATCTTTGTTTTGTTCCTGACCATAGGGTTAAGGCTCTTAGTTTTTCCTCACTGAGGATACTAGCTGTTGAGTCTTTCATATGTGACCTTTATGATGTTGAGGTATGTTCCATCTATCCCTACTTTGTTGAGGGTTTTTATCAAGAAAGGATGTTGTACTTTGTCAAATGCTTTTTCTGCATCCATTGACAGGACCATATGGTTTTTATCCTTTCTTTTATTAATGTGATGTATCATGTTGATTGATTTGTAGATGTCAAACCATGCCTGCAGCCCCAGGAATAAGTCCCACTTGACTGTGGTGAATAATTCTTTTAAGGTACTGTTGAATTCAATTTGCTAATATTTTATTGAAACTTTTTATATTTATGTTCATCAGAGATACTGGCCTGTAATCCTTTTTTAGTGGGATCTTTGGTTTTGAGATCCAGGTAATGCTGGCTTTACACAATAAGTTTGGAAGTTTTTCTCCCATTTCTATTTTCTGGAACAGTCTGAGGAGAATGGAGATTAACTCTTCTTTAAATGTCTGGTAGAATTACCCAGGGAATCCATCCGACCCTGGACTTTTGTTTGTTGAGAGATATCTGGTTACTGATTCAATTTCCTTGCTGGTTATGGGTCTGTTCAAATTTTCTATTCCTTCCTATTTCAGTTTTGGCGGTTTGTAGGTTTGTAGGAATTTGTTCATTTTTTTCCAAGTTTCCCAGTTTGTTGGCACATAATTTCCACAGTATTCTCTTATAACTGTATTTCTGTGGTGATGGTTGTAATGTCTCCCCTTAGATTCATGATTATCTATTTGGGTCCTTTCTCTTCCTCTCTCTCTCTCTCTCACTCCCTCTCTCTCTCTTTTTCTCAATAAGTATGGCTAAGTATTTATCAATTTTATGAATTCTTTTGAAGACTTGCTCTTAGTTTCTTTATCTGTTCCACTGGATTTTTTGTTTCTATATCATTTATTTCTGCTCTCATCTTTATTATTTCCCTCCTGCTGACTGTAGGTTTCATTTGTTGTTTCTTTTCTAGCTCTTTTAGGTGTAAGGTTAGGTTGTCTATTTGAGAATTTTCTTGCTTCTTGAGGTGGGGCTGTAGTGCAACTTAAAACTGCCTTTGTTGCATCCCAAAGGTTTTGGACTGCTGTGTTTTCATTTTCATCTTCTTCCATGTACTATTTTTTATTTCTTAATTTCCTGGTTAACTCATTCATCATTTAGTAGGATGCTCTTTAACCTCCATGTATTTCTGGTCTTTCCAAATTTTTCCTTATGGCTGACTTCAAGTTTCAGAGCATTGTGGTATGAAAATATGCATGAGGGGACGCCTGGTGGCTCAGTGGTTGAATGTCTGCCTTCCACCTAGGGAGTGATCTTGGGGTCACAGGATCAAGTCCCACATCAGGCTCTCTACGTGGAGCCTGCTTCTCCCTTTGCCTATGTCTCTGCCTCTGTGTGTGTGTGTGTGTGTGTGTGTGTGTGTGTGTGTCTCATGAATAAATGAAAAAAATCTTAAAAAAAGAAAGAAAGAAAGAAAATATGCATGGTATGATCTCAATCTTTTTTACTTGTTGAGGGCCACCATGTGTCCCAGTATGTGATCTTTTCTGGGGAATTTTCCATGTGCACTCAAAAAAGAATGTGTACTCTGATGCTTCAGGATAAAATGTTATGAATATATATGTTAAATCTATCTGGTCCAGTGTGTTTTTCTAGCCCTTGTTTCCTTGTTGATCTTCTGCTTAGATGATCTGTCCATTGCTGTAAGTGGCATGTTAAAGTCCTCACTATTACTGTATTATTCCTGAGTTTCTTTGTTTAGTATTAATTGATTTATAAGTTAGCATGCTCCCAACTTGGGGGCATGAATATTTACAATTGTAGATCTTCTTGATGGAGAGATCCCTTAATTATAAGGCTCTTCATCTCTTGTTACAGTCTTTGTTTTAAAAATCTAGCACCTGGATGGTTCAGTCAGTAATGCGTTCGCCTTTGGCTCAGGTCATGGTCCCAGGGTCCTGGGATCCAGCCTCATGTCAGGCTCAGTGGGGAACCTGCTTCTCCCTCTCCTTCTTGCTCACACTCTCTCTCGCTATCTTTGTCTATCTCTCTCAAATAAATAAAATCTTTTTAAAGAAATCTAGTTTGTCTGATATAAGTATGGCTACTCTGGCTTTCTTTTGAAGTCTATTAGCATGATAGATGGTTCTCCTCACTTCAATCTGCAGATTCTTTTTTTTTTTTAATTTTTATTTATTTATGATAGTCACAGAGAGAGAGAGAGAGAGGCAGAGACACAGGCAGAGGGAGAAGCAGGCTCCATGCACCGGGAGCCCAACGTGGGATTCAATCCCGGGTCTCCAGGATCGCGCCCTGGGCCAAAGGCAGGTGCCAAACCGCTGCACCACCCAGGGATCCCCAATCTGCAGATTCTTTAGGACTAAAATGAGTGAGTTTCTTATAGGCAGCATATAGATGGATCTTGTTTTTTAATCCATTCTGATATCTTATGTCTTTTGATTAGTGCATTTAGCCCATATACATTCAAAGTGATTTTTGAAAGATATGAATTCAGCAGCATTCACGTGACCAGTTGATGATTCTGGTGATGTTCTCTGATCCTTTTTGGTCTTTGTTCCTTTTGGTCTTTTTTTTCCCCTCCACTCAAAAAGAGTACTCTGTAACATTTTCCTCAGGAATGCTTTAGTGGTCACAAACTCCTTTATTTTTTGTTTTTCTAGAAAACTCTTTATTTCTGCTTCTATTCTGAATCAGAACCTTGCTGGATAAATAATTCCTGGCTGCATATTTTTCCCACTCATTACATTGAATATATCCTCCAACTCCTTTCTGGCCTGCAAGGTTTCAGTGGACAAATCTGCTGTGAACCTGATCTGTCTCCCTTGTAGAGTAAGGACTTTTCTTGCTACTTTCAAGGAATCTTTCCTTGTCTGTTTTGTGAATTTGACTATGATATGCCTTGGTGATAGTCAGCTGTTCTTGAATTTAATAGGATATTTCTGTGCTTCTTAGATTTTGATGTCTGTGCCTTTCCCCAGGTTAGGAATGTTTTTAGCTACAATTTGTTTAAATAAACCTTCTGCCGCTTTTTTTCCTCCCTACATCTCTTGGGATTCCTATGATACAAATGTTATAACAGTTTAATAAGTCACTGATCTTCCTACATCTTTGTGATCCATTACCTGTTTCCTTTTTTTTTTTTTTTTTTTTTCCAATTTCCTCGTTCTTCCCCAATAAAAACTCTGGTCACTGAGTCACCAATGAGCATCCCTGGCAGACAACACTTTGCAGATGTTGTTAAAGCTCACTGCTAAAGCAATTAAGCATATCCTGTGTGACTCCACTGGAATAGGACTCTTGAAAGACTGCTGATTTGCTTTGTATTATTTCATTATAATAAATTATAGCCATGTGTACATTAAGTTCTGAGAGTCCTACCAGCGAGTTATCAAACCTAGGCGTGGACCCCTTGGGGATTCCTGATTCACTACATATTCAAAAAGCCTGATAAGCTCCAAGCAGGAAAACTACATGTAGACATATCACAATCGCACTGCTTAAAAGAAGTGATACAGAGAAAATATTAAAAAATCAAGAATGAGAGGGGTTCCTGGATGATTCAGATAGTTGAGCAGCTGACCCTTGATTTCAACTCATATCATGATGTCAGGTTCCTGGGACTGAGCTCTGTGTTCAGCAAGGAGTCTGTTTGGAATTGCCTTTCTCCCTCTCCTTCTGCTCCTTCCCCCACATCTCTCAAATAGGTAAATAAGTCTTAAAAAAAAAAAAAATCAAGAATGAGTGAGAATAGCTTCAGGCTTCTTGATAGCAATTCTGGAACTAGAAGACAATGAAATAATGCCTTCAAAATTCTGAAGAAAAATTATTTCCAACCTAACATTCTATCTAAATTGTCAACCAATTAGCCAATTGTCTAAATTGTCTAATTGTCAATTATCAAAGTGTGATAAATGCATCTTCTGACATGCCATTTATCTTCCATAAATCCTCTCTTGAAACTTACTAGAAGGGGCACCTGGGTGGTTCACTGGTTAAGTGTCTGCCTTCTGCCCAGGGCGTGATCCCGGGATCCTTGGATCAAGTTCTGTCTCAGGCTTCCTGCATGGAGCCTGCTTCTCCCTCTGCCTGTGTCTCTGCCTCTCTCTCTGTGTCTCTCATGAATAAATAAAATCTTTTAAAAAGGAAAGAAAGAAACAAACAAACAAACCTACTAGAAGATATGCTCAATCATATTGAGAGTAAAAACCAAGAAAGAAAAAGAAATGGAATCCAAGATAAAGCTGCTCCAAACTGGAGAAAAGTGAAGTGAATTACTAGGAAGATGGTGGAGAGAGATAGTGAAGAGAGACCTAAGGGTGGCTACATCCTCAAAGCAGAGAAGAGAGTTCAAATGAAAGCAGCTGGAAGTTGTGGGAACAAGTTCTCCAAAAAGACAAAACTGCTGAAATGCCTGAAAAGCCTTAACTGGAGAGATAAACAATGGCAAAAACTTAGTTTTATTAATAATAAAGTTAGGCAAACAAAAACCCAAAGTCACTAACTCCAAAGAAAATGAAAAGTTATGAAGGAAAAATAATCATAATTAATATTTGCCTTGGTAATAAATATTATGCAATGTTGAATATTAATCTAACCAAACCATGATACATGTGTCCTTGGAAAATGGAGGAATGGGAAAAGTCCAATGTATAGCAGCTGGAGGGAGTGGGTGAGGAGTTAGTTACCCATATTTCAGAAGTATATTATATAAGCATGTTATTTAAAGACAAGGAAGTAAAGAATGAAAGAATCACTAAGAGTCAAAAGTGACTATCCTGGAAAAAGGAGTTTAAAATGCAACAACAAAAAGCTATGATTAACAAATGTCATAAACAGAATGAAAAATTTTGAGACAATGAGTTCTTACCTTCAGAAGCTCAGAGAGCCTCTCTTGACTAGTCGAAGAATGATTGCTTGAACAAGAAGCACAGTCTGATATTTCCCCAACACTCTCACTGTCTTCAAATTCATAATACTCACTAGCATCTTCCCTGTCACTGTCAATCTCCCAGTCAATAAACTGTAGTTCATCTAAAAAATACAATTTTAAACAATTTTATTTATCCATAATATTTTTAATGTTTTCTTTACTCTCAATAGTTAAAAAATTCCATGTTGCTGAGTAATTTTTAAAATATATATTAAAAAACTGTGAAAATTATACTCCTACTCTCATCTCCAGCCATGCTGTTTCTCCTATCACCACTATCCCAATTCTCAGGTAATTATTTTTATTAGTTGTTCTTGTATAGAAACTCATCTTTCTTGAGCTTTTCCAGCAACTTCAAGCAAATAAAATACTACAATTTTCTTCCTTTCTGACACACTCTGATCTTTTTTTGTACTTAACAAAGGTTTTCCTTATCAGTAACAGGGAGCATCCTTATTCTTTTCTACAACATAGTATTCCACTGCATAGCTGACCCACAGTTTATTTATTCAGTCTCCTATTAACAGACTTCTTAAAAAAGGATTTTCACCTAAAACTTTTTTTTACAGATTTCTCGTCAAAAAAAAAAAAAAAAGTAAATTTAGTTTTTAGCGTACTTTGTAAGCATTGTTATCTAGGTGCTACTTTTACAAAATTTAATTTGGAAATTAATTATTTTCATATGTCAACCAAATTTAATCTATGTTTAAAGAAATAAAAGTAGTTATTAAGTATAAGTTAATCTCTGAGGCATGTAACATAAAACTCTCACACAGTCCAAAGCCCAAGTATTCCCTCACAGCTACTTCAGCAACTCAGAGGGCTAATAAGACATCTTGGCCCTATTCCAGAGGTCTAATAGCAACAATCTTATTTCCAGATAGAAGTAATATTAAAAATGAAATAACTTACTAGCTTTAATACCTGAAAGGGAATTCAAAATAAAACCAAAAAAAAAAAAAAAAAAAAAGGTAAAGTTAAAAGTATGGAGTAAGTCTTTAATCTGATACTGTTGTTCCAGAAGATAAAAGTCCACTATAGTGATTATAAAAGACTGGAGGTCAGACCAGTCTGAGAGAAGTAGATGCGTAATGGCAGTAAAATAACTGCAGGAGCCACTCTGACCATTAGGGAATGGCCGGGGAATACCACATGTAACAACACATGTACTCACGGAAGCCAGGCAATGGGACACATAAAGAAAGTCTCCAGGTTGCTGAAGCATGACAGCAGAAAGCCATGGAGAGGCCGAGTTCTGAGGAATGCAAGTGCCCCAGGAGCTACTGTATTTTTGTACCATTTATTCATTCATTCCTCATTCATTCAGTAAAATCAGTGCCTACTGAGGGCCTACTGCACCTGGACACATCTAGACACTTACAATCTAACAACATCAAAACAAACAAATACAGGAGATAATACAGAACACTGTTTCTACCCTAGAGAAGCCCATAGATGAATAACACTTATACTGGAATTGCTGAGTGGTATAAAATGATATATTACAACCCAAACTGGTAAGACCTTTCTTGTTCACAATAATTTTATGAAGCAGGCAAGACAATCCCCGTTAGAGTAAAATTTGTATTTTATAGATGAAAAAATTGAGTCTCCAAAAAGTTAAGAAGACTTCTCAAAGTTATGTAAAAGACAAATGGAAGGGGAATTTTTTTTTTTTTTTTTTTTTTTTAAGGAGAAAAGATTCTGACAATTTTAACTCAGGGCTCTTCCCTCTCAATCCTAAATCTGGGCCTTACTCTCCAGAGACTAATCCAATACAGCTGGAAGGAGGTCTGGGCATATTGTGTTTAAAACTCACCTGGTAATTATGGTAAGAAGCCAAGTCTGTTAAGCACCAGAAGAGCGTAGAAGCACACAACATTGAGATTAGACAACCCTGACTATAAATATTAAATGGCATACTTATTAACTATGTGACTCTGGACAAACAATTTGACTTCGCTGAGTCCCAATTTCCTTCTCTAAAATGAGGGTACTCAGCTCACAGGATGTAGCATGTATAAAAGGAAATAATATACATAATATCCAGCCAAGGGTCTGGGGTAAAACAAGAAACTGATAAACAGTAATTAAAGGTAAAAAGGAGCAAGGGGAGGAGGAGAAGGAAAAGGAAGAGAGAAAGATAAGCCAGCAGTTACACACATGATTAGAGATATACTCCAAGGGATCATTTGTTACCTAACAGTCAACTTGCTTAAGAGAAGTCAACAATTCATTAACCATTTCAAAGTAATTAGGTCAAAGCACCTTTCCATTCTTAGAGTTTTGAAAACTGTGTCTTTTAATACAGAAGGACACGGACAGTTTTCATTTTCTTAATAGCAGATTTAATGAGATGTAATTCACAAAACATACTATCCACTCATAAAATAACATACAAATTTTTTCATCCTATTTTTTATATTTAAATTCAATTAGCAGACAAATAATACATCATCGGTTTCACAAGTTGTGTTCAATAATTCATCAGGTGCATATAACACCCAGTGCTCATCACATCATGTTCCCACCTTAATGCTCGTTACCCATCCCCCCCACACACATCTCCCCTCTAGCGACCCTCAGTTTCTTTCCCAGAGTTAAGATTCTTTAATGGTTTTTCTCTGTTTCTGACTACAGCCCATTCAGTTTCTCCTCTGTCCCTCATGGTCTTTGGCACTATTACTTATATTCCAGATATGGTGAAACTACATGATAATTCAGTATGGTCATCACTAATACTAAGTGTTAGAAAAGGAATGAAGTTTTTTCCAATACTGAACCCAACATATAACAGAAAGAAGACTTCTTACCAAATTATCAATTTACCTTCACTGGCCCCATCTTCTGAACATAAAATATTCCTCTTCCTGTTACAAAGCCTGTCTATTCTAGAACCATGTCCGTTATCTCTCTGTGATTTAAGACATGTTTTATCCTCATCTGACAGATCACTTCCACTGGAACTCCATGTTATATCTATCAGTCCACTGGTACTCTTAGATGCAGTAGCTTCTGTTAAAGAAAAAGAAAATATATAAACACAATCAACTGATATGATGGTTATTTATAAGATTTTAAGCATGTTACTTTGCCAAAGTCACAAATAACAAAACTCTGATGATAGCACAAGTAACATCTTATATGAAATCTTCCTGCCTAAAGTTCTATGTGCAACCTAAGATTCTTTGAATTAAAACCAAATTATAAGGGATCCCTGGGTGGCTCAGTAGTTGAGCATCTGTCCTGGGCTCAGGTCATGATCCCGGGGTCCTGGGATCAAGTCCCACATCGGGCTTCCTGCATGGAGCCTGCATGCCTCTCTCTCTGTGTCTCTCATGAATAAATAAATAAAATCCTTTAAAAATAATTCTAAGAAACAGAAGTAGCAGTAATTGAGATAAGTTATATATTTAAAAAGAGGAAAATGATCGTAGTACAAATGAAAACTCTAAAAAATAACCTTGAACTAATTATTGAATTATAATGTCCTAGAATATTTGATGAAACCAAAAGAAAAAGACAAAAAAAAAAAAAAAACCCACAAAACCAATATTTAACGTACAACAGGAATGCTTCTGTTTGCCTCCTTTGCCATATAGGAGCCCTGGTAGCAGTAATGTGCTTAAAAACACTGAACAGAAAAACTCTTTTAACTAAATGTGTTATTTTGAGGTAATAGTAGATTCCCATACAGTTATAAGAAACAATGGAGAACCCTTGTATGCTTTACCCAGTTCCTTCAATGGTAACATTTTGCAAAACTATAGTGTAACATCACAACCAGAACGCTGATTCTGATACCTTCAAAACAAAAAAAAAATCCATAGGACATCTTGCATTACCTTTTTAAAGCCACATCATAGCCACCCTCCTCACCCCAATTCTTAACCTCTGGCAATGAATCAGTTTTGCATTTTTGTAATTTTATCATTTCAAGAATTATACATAAATGGAATCATATTATATGACACTTCAGGACTGGCTTTTTTTTTACTCAGCCTAAATCCCTGGACATTCATCCAAGTTGTTCTGTGTATCAACACTTTCTATTACTGAGTAATATAGAATATGGATGCACCATAGTTTGTTTATGCATTCACCCACTAAAGAGCATTTGTGTTGTTTCTAGTTTTAACTATTACAAATAAAGCTGCTATGAATATTACATACCGGGTTTTATGTGAATGTAATTTTCATGCTCTGGGATATATGTTCAAAGGCAATTGCCAGGTTGTACAGTAATTGCATGTTTAGTCTTCTAAGAAACTGCCAAGCTTTTCCTTAGCGGCTGTACCATTTTACAGTCCTATAAGCAATGTATCAGTTTCTCCATATCACTGACAGCATTCAGTGTTGTCACCACTTTTTATTTTAGCCATTCTAATAGAAAACCTAGAAAAGGGATCCCTGGGTGGCGCAGCGGTTTAGCGCCTGCCTTTGGCCCAGGGCGCCATCCTGGAGACCCAGGATCGAATCCCACGTCGGGCTCCCGGTGCATGGAGCCTGCTTCTCGCTCTGCCTATGTCTCTGCCTCTCTCTCTGTGTGTGACTATCATAAATAAATAAAAATTAAAAAAAAAAAAAAAAAAGAAAAGAAAACCTAGAAAGAATGGGGCTACTCCATCTTGATGTAACAGTACGTCACCGGGAAACTTTTCTGACAGTAATCAGGAAAGTAATACATACCTTTAAAAAAATCAATTTTTCTACTTATATTTATAATTGAGTTATAATCATAAAACTTAAAAGAGTATCTTAGACACATCTGAATGAGATTAAGAGGTTAGATATTATATTCAAGCTCTAGGGTAGCCCCAGTGGCCCAGTGGTTTAACGCCGCCTTCAGCCCGGGGTGTGATCCTGGAGACCCGGGATCAAGTCCCACGTCGGGCTCCCTGCATGGAGTTTGCTTCTCCTTCAGGCTATGTGTCTCTGCCTCTCTCTCTGTGTGTTGGTCATGAATAAATAAATAAAATCTTTTTAAAAAATTAAATAAAATAAATAAAATAAATAAATTGAAGCTCTAGAGTAAACAGACTCAGAAGTTAAATGGCTTCATTCAGTACATATTTACACAACAATGGATAAGTAAGCTCTGAGAAAAGAGAAAAACAAGAAGACTCCTCCCCCAAGCAATGTATCATCTGAAAGACAACACTAATCATGAAAAGAAAAATTAAATATTGTATTTGACGTATGTCACTGTATAACAGTAGCTCAAATAAAGCAAATGCTCCACTTTTTGTTGATCAGGAAACCAAATTCACTGACAAAATAATATCTGAAAAAAGAGCACTTACAAAGGAATAAAAACATAAAATAATTATAAACATCTGTTAAATACTTACTTGGTGCCATGAACATCCAGAATTACTAAAGTTGTCTTCAAAATATAAAATTTAAAAAACAAAACTTCATCCATATTGATTGTAATAGCTAATAAAAATTGAGCTATATATTTACTTGTAAAAGACATCATCAGTCCCTCTTACTATTACGCATTTGGAAGAGTAAACTGAAAAGCAAGGAGTGGAATGCCAGAGACAGAATGGTTGTATCCCTTAAAATTCCCACTGTTCAAACTCAGTTCCCAGGGTGAGGGATTAAGAGGTGGGGACTTTGGAGGTGTTAGGTCATGAGGCCCTCATGAATGGGATTAGGGCTCTTAATCAGCAGCAGCCCCCAGAGAGATTCCTGGCCCCTTCCTCCAAGTGAGTCCACAGCAAGATGGTACTCTCATGAACCTGGAAGCAAGTCTTCACCAGACACTAAATATACTGGACCAATTTCTGCCATTTATAAGCTACCTAGTCTGTGGTATTATTGTTACAGCTGTCTAATCGGACTAAGACAAGAAGTTATCGTTATTTTCAGATTATACAATGAATTCTTGAAATTCATAAACTCATGAATTACAGGCACTGTATATACCACCACGACTTTATAAGTAACTCATTTTATTTGCTGGAAAGGGTACCCTTGAAACCAAGACCCATTCCAATGACATTCAAGGAAGGACGTCAGCTAGACTATGAGAATAGCTACAACAGGTAAACATTTCTGGATGCCCTTTGCATGTCAGGCATTGTGCTAGCATGTAGTATTATGGACTGAATTGTGCTACCCCAAAAGTCATTCATATGTTAAAGTTCCAACACTCCAGCACCCCTGAATGTGATTATATAGGGAGAGGATCTGTCTGTACAGGGGTGATCAAGTTATTCCAATATGACCAGGAAAAGAGAAATTTAGACACATGCAAGGAATGAAGACTGTGTGAAGAGACACATGGAAAGACAACCATCTACAAGCCAAGGAAAGAAGCCTAGAGCAGATTCTTAGAAGGAATTAATCCAGCTAATACCTTCATTTTGGACTTCTAGCCTGTAGGACTGTGAGATAAGTTTCTGGTATTCACACTACCAAGTTTGAATACTTTATTACTGGTACTTTATTATAGGAGCCCAAGCAAACTAATACACCTAGGATATATAGAAAAGCAACAGAGAAAGCTCTGCCTTAGGAAACCCATGGTCCAAGGAGGAGAAAAACAGTCCAACAAATAATAACAAAACAAATTTAGTGATGCCTCTCAAAGAGGAGATTTCTGACCTCGATAACAAAATTTTAAGAAAACAATCTGTAGGCCATTTAAGGAAAAAAAATTAGATACTAGCTCCTTTTTATTTTATAGTTTCACTTTGGTAAGTAAATCTTTAAGTTCTGCTTTTTAAAGAAAATCACCATCTACAAAGGTTCCAGGCTCTTAACTTTCAAACATATAACCTTCTTTTGTCCCTTTTCTCTGACTCCTTCCCATTGCCAGTTTCTGCCCCTACTCAGTCTTCTCTGGTTACAGTGCCTTATAGATGAGGAAAGAGAAACATGGAGACTATCTCCCCTTTTGTGCACACCCTGCAAAAGTAAGTGCCCCCACTTCTGCTTCCCAGCTCTCACAAAACATTACTCCCACACCCTAAAATTTCTGTTAATATACATTTCTAATACTTCAGAAGCTACTATTGGGGCACCATGGAAGCTCTGTCAGTTGAGCATCCAACTCTTGGTTTCAGCTCAGGTCATGATCTCATGGGTCATGGGATCCAGCCATGTTAGGCTCCATGCTCATCAGGGAGTCTGCCTGAAGATTCTCTCCTTCTGCACCCCCCCCCACTCTTCCCCCCACCTCAAATAAATAAATCTTAAAAAAAAAAAAAAAACCTACTATTTTAAGGGGCACCTGCATGGCTCAGTCAGTTAAGCATCCAACTCTTGATTTGGCACAGGTCATAATCATAGGACTGAGAGATCAAGCCTCATGTCAGGCTCCACATTGGGCATAGAGCCTGCTTAAGATTCTCTCCCTCTCCCTTTGCTCCGCTCTCCTCTAAAAAACTAAGAAAAAAGAAGCTACTATTTTAAAAATGAACTAGTTCTAGGAAATGCCTTGAGCCTCTCCTTCCTATCAATTTGTAAGTTTTTGTTAAATTAACAATATTTTCTTGCCTTAACATACACACTTATGCTGTAACTAAAATAACTATCCATTGATACAAGCTCTTTCAGCTTTTCAGAATATACTATCATTCTACAGAGTACAGCAGGGTGGGTTGGATACATACTGGCACAGGAAAACCATCTCAAAAGATCATTTTGTGTTTCTTTTTTTTTTTTTTAAGACTTTATCTATTTATTCATGAGAGACAGAGAGAGAGGTAGAGACACAGGCAGAGGGAGGAGCAGGCTCCCTGCAGGGAGCCCAATGTGGGACTCGACCCCAGGACTCTAGGACCAAACCCTGAGCCAAAGGCAGATGCTCAACCACTAAGCCACCCAGGCATCCCTCAAAAGATCATTTTGTAATTAAATACAAAGCCATAGATTATTTTTCTTTTTTCTTCAAGTTGAATTTGGCTATTCTCACTTAAAATCACCAGAAAAAGGCAACAGCCCCATCTATAAGACAAAATCTTTTCTACATAGGACACTTTAGATAGAAGTCAGAATTAAACTGATCTTTGAAAATCACAGTATTTGGCACTAATAACAAGAAAAGTTAAATTCCGCAGTTCCATCAGAAGATTATGGTATTACAAAAAAAATATTAGTTTATTTTATAACACAATGTTTTATGAATTTAAAAATTGGGGAGATTTTTTTCATCTAAATAAAAAGAAGCCCCTAAATATTAATGAAATAATTAAGTAACTCTTATTCACAGAAAGTTTTCCCACTCTGCAGAATTTTTAACAGGCTTTCACATAGCTCTTTTTGTCATAGGACATAAGAGCAACTGCTGCCATAAATCAATCTACTAAAGGCAAGCCTCTGAAATAGACCTTTGATTACCATTTTTTAAATTCACAATAACCCAATGAGGCACACATGCTTATAAGCATTTTCCAGATGGAGAAACGGAGGCTTAGCATGTGTAGTTTCTTTCCCAAAATCACACAGGACACAGTCAGGACCCCATAGAACCAAAGGAGATTCCTAAGAGGTCTCAAACCCTGACTTTCCTTGACCATCCATCAAGTGTGGCAGCAGAGCCAGCAGCCTCCCTCTTATCCACCCCCTTTTCTTCCCAACAGAATCCCAATTTTATTTGAGCAGCAACAAAGATATTTTAAAAATCTTTCACTTCAGGGTGCCTCAATCATAAATATATATTCTATCCAAACTATATAATAAACCAAAGAAAGATCTATTAGCTTTATACCTTTTCTGTCAAGAAATCAACAGAACATTACCTTTCTTGGATCTAGGGGATAATTCGAGGTGTTTTTCTGTAACAATCTTCTCTTCAGCTGTTAATGACTGTGAGAAAAAGATGATAATAAGGTTAATAATGATGATGATGTAATAATTTATGTGACAAGGGCTAAAACCAAAAATATTTTGTAAAATATTCAAAACCTTAAACTATACCCTCCTTAAAATACTTCTCTTTTTATATTTACCAATTAAACATTTCCAAAGCATACACTCCTTATAATATAAATTTTTATATTTTACCAGAATTTAAATAAAGCTAACTATTAAGAGTTTATAACAGTACTCCATTTTGTACATATCTCTACTATAGGATTTCAAATTAGCATATATAAAAAAATTAACCAGAATATCTTGTGGCCAAAAGATTCTGAGTATAGAAGCATTTCATAAAGAGAGAAAAAGAGTAGAATGCTCAAAGATTTCACCTTCTGAGAAACTTCATCAGTAGGTGTCCTTCATTTACAAAGAATTTCAAAGGTTGGGTCTGGCATAAAGAGGTAATTTGATTACTAACTTGCCACAATTATTAAAGGAATTCGAGGTTGAAAAAAGAAGACTATACAAATTACTGTGTCCTGAAATAAGGAATAGAATTCCAAAGAAATCTAATTACAATGGCCTAAATATTCAGGAATCTGAGTAGCCTTTGGCATTCAAGGAAAACAATTTTACAACTACTTTACCTGAGTCCCAGAAGTGTCCTGAAACCCTTCTCCACACCTGAGCCATGCTTCAGAGAGGGAAGCAGCTGCCCCTGCTGTCCTGAGACCTGAACTTTTGAACTTCAGTGGACTCTCTCTTGGAAAGCATGGGTATTCTATATCCCAATTTCTTTTTCTCTGTGGAGATGGTTTTTAAAGAAAAAAAACAAAAACAAAAAACTTCATTAAATATATGTTAAGTTGACAGCACTGTGGAAACCCAGGAGTGACTAAACCCCCTCGTAAAATAGAGTAACAAGAAAGCACATAAACTTGTACAATTAGAGAACAAATTCTAAAATACAAATGGGTGAAGACAAACATTCAACTCTCCGAGGTCCTGTATATAATTATACCTGAGAGCAAAGTTTAAGTGAAGGAGCACACAGACACGTGGTATTCACTAAGAAGTGGAACAGACAATCTGAGAATGAAATGGTACCTGAAAGAGGGCGAGGGCAAGGGTTCCACCCAAGATCCAAAGGGGCACGAGCGTCACTCAGCACTGGTCAGCCAGGACTACCTTCTTGGACAGAGCCTCACACTGCAGAGAAACTGCTGGCAGGGCAATCTGCTCAGCAGCACAGAGATGGTACAGACCAAGAAAAGAAAAGGTCCAGATGGAGTGGAGCAAGGGAACCAAGCCAAGAAATGTCTAAATAACAAACAAGTGACCATATTTTTGCAAACTATAACAAGAGAAATTATAAAAGTTATTTTGAATCCTATCTTCTTCTAAAAATTCACAGAAACTCTAACATAAAAATAAGCAATAGAAAGGGATCAAGGTCAAATCCGGTACAAAGTTATTATTAGAAAAAACAAAATGGAGCAGAATAACATCCCAACACTTGTACGAAGAAAGCACACCAAAGACATGCTCACAGAACAAAGTGTAACCAACTATTTCAATATAAGACAACACATTCAGCTTATAAAAAGTCAGAAATGAATCAACAAATCTTAAGCTGTAGAATAAGATTTAAAAAATCAGCTGAGGGAAAGAGCAAAATGTACATCCACATATGAATGGATAATAAAGAGGATGTGGGATGCATACATGTAATTACAAAGCACCTATATATATATTTACATACACTTTCCTTGTACTTTCCTTGAAGTATACATATGAAATACAACATATATATATATATATGCACACACATACATATATACAAAGGAATATTAGCCATAAAAAAGAATGAAATCTTGCCATTTACAACATGGATAGAGCCAGATTACACCATGCTAAGCAAAATAAGCCAGTCAGAAAAAGACAAACCCCATTTGATTTCACTCATATGTGTAACCTAAGAAACAAAACAGATGAACATGGGAGAACAGAAAGAGAGACACAAACCATAAAACAAACTCAACTACAGAGAACTGAGGGTTGCTAGATAGATAAGTGGGGGGATGGGTTAAATGGGTGATGGGAACTAAGGAGGGCACTTGTGAGGAGCACTGGGTATTGTATGTAAGTGATGAATCACTAAATTCTACTCCTGAAACTAATATTACACTGTATGTTAACTAACTGGAATTTAAATAAACACTTGAAACAGAAAATAAAATATTCTCTCAATATGGGGGGGGGGGAGATCAGCACAGGAAAAGACTACACTGGAAAAAATCCAAAAGCAAGTAGCTATCACAGATAATATCTTAAGAAAGTATTAAGAGGAGGAAAGTGAGGCACCTTTGGCACAGGTGGTGATTTCAGGAGTCCTGGGATCAAGTCCCACATCAGGCTCCCTGCAAGGAACCTGCTTCTCCCTCTGCCTATGTCTCTGCCTCTCTGTGTCTCTCATGAATAAGTAAAATATTAAAAAAAAAAAAAAAAAAAAGGAGGAGGAATGTAATAAGGAGGAAATTTTAAAGTTCACTCCCCTCCAATGAGGAAAGTGAAAGGATTCAAGAGAAAGAGAGTGATCTATCAAGTCTCTCCTGGGATACAAGATAATATACAGATAATAGCAATCCCTGAAAAAGAAGAAAACCAAGATAATGGGACCAAGATCATTCCAGAAAAACTTTTCTGAAATCTCAAAAAAAAAAAAAAAAAAGGAAACTGCATATTGACGCACACCACATATCTGATGTCAACCCAAAAGCAATCAACACCAAGATATATCCTAATAAATAGACTTTTAAACAAACCCTTTGAACATCTAGAAAAAGGAACAAATGACCTACAAGTGAATAAAAATTACCTTATCATGGGATGTTGATAGCATCTTTATGCCAGAAAAAAAAAGAGTATATTTAAGATATTCAAGGGAAGAAAATGTGAAATAGTTTTATCTAGCAACAGGGATAACACTGATTATTTTCTCCAAGTATTTTTATGCAAGTCCTGCTATTGTTTTACAAATGTCTACAACAGACATGTATTCATAAGTTTTTAAATTTGCATTTATTTAAGGAGAATCTTTTAGATTTGCATCACAAATCAAATTAAACCCAACTACTATGAACTGATCACCTGAATAACCCCTTATCAAAAGCATTGTGGTTTAAAAAAATGAATTACGATTAAAATACTCTTTAAAACTTACTTAAGTAGGAAGAGGAAACAAAATCATAAAAACATATTCAGCCATAACAAAGATGATATTTTAACATGAAATAGCTCTAAGCATATTCCTCTTTATGTAGAAATTCCTATGGCTGGGTAGGACTCTAAGAGGAAGAAGCATCTATCCTCAAGAGGGTATTTCCCTCCACTAGTTTCCCATGACAGCTCTGAGGAAGCTTCCTTAGTAGGAGAATATCCTTATTCTAGGAAATATTTAGGGGTAGAGGTATCCAATTACTCGAAGATGGTACAGAAAGAATTGATACATACATGCACAGAGAGAGATAGGAGGAGAAAAAGGAAAAGAGAGAGAGAGAGAGAGAGAAGCAAAAAGTAATAAACCAGCAAAACAGCATAAAGAGTTACATTTGTTTCCTCAGGTTGCTATAACAAATGACCACAAACTCAGTGGCTTAAAACAACAAAATTCTTCTCACAATTCTGGAGCCAAGAAGCCACAAATGAAGATGTCAGCCTGAATAGTAATTGTTTGGGGTACCATTTAATAAATCTGGGGAACAAATGAGATGTCTAACTGAATGCAAAGGGTAAGTTTTCTGGAGTATCTGCATAAATCCCAATGGACTGCACCCAGGAATTTATGGAGGAGATGATGACTCATGGACAATTCTGAGGAACAGATAGAAAGTTTTAACCAAGTCGGCTAGTTAGCAAGCACTGTGATGCTCAAAGCTCATTCTACCAAATATTTGCCCATTTGTTTCCTCAGAGTCCTTTCCTTCCCTCAAGGTAATAGAACACTTCTCAGGCCCGTCACAGCTTTGGTTACATTTGACTTGTCCACACTTCTCTAGATTTCATCCATACTCCAATTCCGTGGGGACTAGAACCCCAATGATATAATTAATTAATATAAATGACAGAAATCTGAGATTCCTATCTTCAGCCAGTCAGCATTTATTGAGTGCCCAGCGGATGCAGACATCCTGCCAGGGCCCAGGGACACAAGATGAGCGAGAAAGACCCGGCTCTCCAGCAGCTCAAGCGGCAGTGACAGAAACTCTCCCACGAATCTGATGAAATGAAAGCCTGAACCCAGGTCCAGATACCAGCAAGCCTGGCCTTCAACCCCCGCTCCACTCCCCGAATCAGTCTTTCTCCTTCTCACTCAAAAGAGCCTGCACATCTTCCCCACAATATGTGCCTCCATGGCACTCTTCACTGCCTTTGATCTCTCCAACCAGTGCGTTTCTCTTCCATGACATAACCCTCAATACCCCACAAACATCCCTCCTTCTGTGAGTCCACCATGTCTCTAGCATACTCTACTCCCTCCTTTAGAACAGGAGAAGGAGACATGTGCCTAAACCATCTCATCACCTCCGTGCACCGTGCTCCCCCCACAAAAGGATTCATTAAAATGACTAAATGATTATGTACATTTTTCTCATACAAATCATCATTGGTTCACAGACGCTGATGACATCTAAAGTCTGTCACAGTCTGAGTATATAGGTTGCTGTCTCTCAGCTTGCTACCAGTGAGCAATCAGGGAAGAGAGAGAACTCACAACCCCCAAATCAAGAAACACATGCTTTTCCTATGAGACAACCAGCTGCCTATTTTTTAATTTTTTTATTTATATTCAATCAGCTACCATTTAGTACATCATTAGTTTCAGATGTATTCAATGATTCATCAGTTCCATATAACACCCAGTATTCATCACATCATGTGCCCTCTTTAATGCCCATCACCCAATTACCTCATCCCCCCCCCATTCACCTCCCCTCCAGCAACCCTTAGTTTATTTCCTATAATTGGGTCTCTTATGATTCTTCTCCCTCTCTGATGACTGCCCATTCAGTTTTCCCTCCCTTCCCCTCTCATAATCTGTGCTGCTTTTATATTCCTCATATGAGTGAAACCATATAACTAGCTTTCTCTGATGGACTTATATTGCTCAGCATAATACTCTCCAATTCCTTCCACATCAATGTAAATGTTAAGAATTCATCCTTTTTGATGGCTGAGTAATATTCCACTGTGTGTATGTGTAAATATATATATACAGATATATCAGATCTTCTTTATCCATTCATCTGTCGATGGAATAAATTTAACCAAATAAGTGCAAGACTTTCACAGTGAAAACTACAAAATACAGTTGAAAGAAATTAAAGATCTAAAGAACATGGAAAGACAGCCCATGTTCATGGATTGGAGAAGAAAAAAATTTTTTTTTTTTTTTAATATAAAGAGAGAAAGAGCAAGAGTGTGGAGGCAGCCGGAGGGAGAAAGAGAATCTTAACCAGACTGCCTGCTGAGCTAGGGTCTCAATCTCATGACTCTGAAATCATAACCTGAGTCAAAATCAAGACCCAGATACTTAACCAACTGATCCACCCAGGTGCCCTGGAAAACTTATTAATGACAATACTCTTCAATTTACAAACTAAATCCAATAAAATTCCCAGATGGCTAATTGCATAAATTGACAAGCTCATGTTATTATTCACATGGAAATTCAAGGAACCGGGGATCCCTGGGTGGCACAGTGGTTTAGCGCCTGCCTTTGGCCCAGGGCACGATCCTGGAG